TTGGTTTTGCTGTGACTATTTGAGCTAGACTTTCGAACATGCTTGGCAAATTCTCAATGGTACTCGACTCTCCGAATGCTTCAGCAATGGTGCTCGATTCACTGATTGCTTCTTCCTCCTTAACCAAGTCAAAATATCCAGAGTTAACTCTTGCCCCCTCATCCCTACAAATGAAAAAAACCGAATTCATCTAAGTTAAATTGCAAGCTCACTGCTTCTTACAATTTACCAGCAACAATCAAAAGCAACACTGACTCAAATTCACCCACATGCCACAATTCACAGCCTTACTGACTACAATAAACAAACACACAAAACATAAACTACTCGACAAGCTCGTAAATTATCCCATTTCAAAACTTCTCAACAAGCTCGTAAATAATGTCATTTCACAACTTCCCAAAACACGATTTGGGCAGCCAGCAATTTGTTCAAAAACCCAAAATTCTTATAGTTTCAAATCGTGTGCAGTGGGTGCGAGAAAACCCATAAATAATTTGTTCAGAAGCCCAAAAATCTAACCTTCTCAAATCGCTAAGCAGTCGACGATAGTCGGAGAAGATGATGACAAAGACGTTGAAATCGACAGCTTTGTTTTGGTTTAGGAACTTTGACGACGGTAAAGATGTTGGGTTATTTGTTAATTTCTGGATTGACGTTAGCCGGATCTGGAGCCGGAGTTGGGGACGCAAGTGCCGGTGAGATAAAGGGGTCTGGGAAAGTTTGGTTCTCTGCACTTCACGTGGGCTGCTTCCATTTCATTTCATTTTATCGTTATTTTATTTGAAATAAATGTTGGTTGACACGTCATCTGGAAAATGTCTGGTAAAGGGGCTTCTGTACGTCTAGCACGACTCAAAATGGATATCCATTTATGTATTTGACGATATCTTCACTAAAGCCCTGGGATCTTTAGGTCTGTCATCAAATTTCTTCACCGAGGGAAGTGCTGCATTTGGAGGCTCCTTTATGTTGCGAGTGTCATTGATAAGTCAAGAAGATCCTTTTTTTCCCCATGTTTTCCATCAAGAATATTTTATAAAACTCTTTGACCGCTGAATTTTGAGTTCCCTACCAATCCCATCTTATGATTCGCCTTCAATTGCTTATAAGACTTTGCATCCCTCGTTCTATGAAAGTTTGAAGAAGTTAAAAAAATAAAAATATATTCTTTATTTCCTTCCCCTCCCTTTATTTAAATCTCAGATCTGTTATTTTTCAAAAATCTTTAGCTAGTTGAAATATAGTTAACAAGATATAAGCTTGTTCCTTAGCCTATACAGGTTGCTGGTCCACTTGATCACAAGCCCGAGGAGAAAATTGTTGGAAATGCGCAGTTCCGCTAGCAAAGGTATTTTTGTTGGAAATCCTTAAATTCATTTTCTTTGATTGTTCTTTAAGTGAAGATTTGTTGTTTCTTTGTAGTGATGTTGATGATCCTCACACATTCATCGACTTTTTCGAGTCCAGCACTGAGCCGTAAGAACCCATTGTTGCCACATCTTCCCTTTCTGCAGCCAATGTAACGAATAATAATTTTATTTTTGTCCTGCGTGCCCATCTAGGATTTTACTGATGAGGTCTTGCGCATACTACCAGAAATTTGGTTTTGGAGCATTTGGCATATTCCCAGTGCTTTTGAAGCAAAGGTAATTTTCATTCTAATTTGAATCTTACATGCTCATGAACAAGTTAGTGTATGCTTCTTTGAGTATCTTTTATGTCTAGATTGTTTTCACTCCTGCAGAGTATCTTCTGAAGATTATGGTGTTATGGGTTTGAGATATGGCTCTTCAAATCTGTCTGTTGGAGCTACAGTTATTCCTTTCTTCAGTATGTCAATGCTACATTAATGTAATTTTCCCGTTTGACCAAACCTGGGGAATGATGATTTTCCTATGCTAAAATATGAGTTGCATTTCTCTGTGGTATCTCAAACTGTAACAAGTCTACATATTCGCTTAATCTCATATTTTTAAAATTTTCTGGCTCTTTCCTTTGTGAATAGCTAATCAACCAGAACATAAAGACTACTTTTATGATAAGCATTGCATATACATGGACGTAAATTCACAAACAGGTGTAGAAATATATTAACTTTTCTTTCATACATAGTTGGTGATGAACTTCCAAAAAGTGCCTGGTTAGTAAGCAAGATGGGAAGGCTGACTGCTGGGGTGCAATATGAACTAACACGTGAGTTTTTCAGAACCAAAATAATTTATTGTTCTTTTTCATCCTCAATGCTTTTTGTGTTTTAGGTATTATTCCTGCAAGTTGATGAGGTAAACGCGTTTCTTTAAGTTACAACTACTCCTCCATGTTCTGTTAAACATATATTTTAACACTTCAGATTTCACTATCACGAACGGTATATTCTACTATTTGTTTAGGAAATTAAAATATTAATTATAATAGTTTTATTTTCTTCATTTGTACCCTACCATACTACTTTAATGTTCATCACATGCCTTGTCTTCCTGGATACTTTAAATGTTGGAAATAAATCTCACATCGCCTGTGGACAATGTCTTGGGCCAGTTTATAAACAATGTGGCAAACCTCTCTTGCTGAATCGGTTTTGTGAGATGAGTTAGGCCCATAAATTTCTACATGGTATCAGAGCCTACCACAGGATTGATGTGGGTCCACACTACTTACCCCGTGACAAGGACTAGAAAAATTACTGGCCTGCACGTGAGGGAGGGTGTTGGAAATAAATCCCACATCGCCTGTGGACAATGTCTTGGGCCAGTTTATAAACAATGTGGCAAACCTCTCTTGCTGAACCGGTTTTGTGAGATGAGTTAAGCCCATGAATTTCTACATTAAAAGAGTTATATTTATGCGTCATCGCTTTCATGGATGGGTGGCAGAGTTGGGGTTTGTATTCAGTGCAATTTTTCATCATTTAATAAATAAGTCTTTTCAAGCTTTCTTATTGAACAAAAAATTAAAGAAAAGGTCAAAAATGAGAAAAATGGAATAGTTAGCATATGCCCTCTATGTTCTTCAGTATTTCATGGAGGAAGGTTAATGTGTTATACTTGTGATGCTTTACACAGTTAGAAGCAAAGATGGAACAAACTACAAAAACTTGACTAATTGGAGCTGTGCTATTGGTTATGGATTAGGATCAGGGAGTCCATTGAGCCCATCCTTCAATTTTGGACTTGTACTCTCTAAAAATTCACAGGTTAGTAGTGTTTTGTTGTTTTCAGGCCCTTTGATTACTTTCCTCGGTTCCTTTACATAATTAGCTGTTAACCAGTTTTCTTCGCTAAATTGACATCTGATATAATTCTTTTATTGGCTGAACTTGCTTTTCAAAGAACCTTAAAAGGAAGAAAAGGAAAGATTTTATTTTTTTCTGTTTCTCATTTAGCTTGCAGTTTATCCTTTTGTGGAAGATATTAGGAAACAAGTTGTTTTGTTAGGCTTCCTTGCTATCCTAAATCTATTTCGGTAGCCTGAATACTCTGGATGCCATCATAACAATAGAATTTAGCAGAAAGTAGGCCAAAAGTGAGATATCTATTGAGTCATTTCCATTTTCTGTTTTGCATTATAAAAACTTCTCTGCATCACAATTGATTCTACAAGAATAAGTATACTGGCGCGCACGCGCGCGCGCACACATATTTTTTTTATAACTGTGGACGTTCAGGCCAGTTTGTGCGCACCTTGACTAATTCTATGGGACCCTAAAATTTACGGTCGGGTACTCACCTCAGTGGCCTTGAGGATATTCAAACTGGTGACCATTGGGAGCAAATCCAAGGCCTGATGATTTGAGCAACCCTTCAAGGTTACTGGCATACAATATTAGCAACATGGCTTTCATTTTTCATAGCTACATGTGAATTTTGTGGCATAATCCAAACATGTCTTTAGAATGTAGAATGTAGGATAAAGATATTGATATTGATTCCTCTTTTTCGGTTTCTCTATCATTCTTTGCCCCTCATTCTGAGTTCATATAATTATAGTTAGAATGGATACAAAATTATCTTATTCTTCAACCATTAATTTCACTGGCTTACAGCTGTCAGAGACAGGACAAAACGAGAGACGGCATTTGGATTTGGCATTCGTGTCGACAACATTAGGGAAGCAAGGTTGGTTACATTTTCCCTTATGCCTTCTGGATACGATTTTATAAGCCCGTGCAGGCTCGGTCTTTGTATTGCCATTCTACATCCATTTAAATTTTCTATCGTCGTTTCTTTGCTTGCAGTTATCAAAGAGCTGACCCAAATTTCGTCACGCTAACCCCAAACAAGGAGCCTCTAGCTGAGGGCAGACACTGGAAAATTGGGGAAAGATCATTGCTCCAAACTGATGTAAATTCTGGAAATTTTGATGGCATGCCCAAGGAATTAAGACCCTTGGCCAAAATTTTGTAACCTTTCAGTGGTTTTCCATTTTTTTTTTAAATAGAAAAATGATCTACGAAGTATCTATGCTTAACTTATACTAAACATCAATCACATTGCACATTAATTCATCGGTAAAATACAAATTTAATTAAAAGATTGATGTGTAATGTCATTGGTGTTTACCGTTGTTTAATAGATCGGTCCGTTGTTTAATGAATTCCGCGTATATGGTACCACTTCGGTTATGTTTTCAACTTTTATATTCAATCATTTTGTATCTATTTGTCTGTCGATTAGGATATCAACTTTGGCAAAGTAGCCTCTGGAACCTTAATTTCTGTGTGATTGGAGGAAGAATTTACAACGCCTGCAGTGCGAGTTGTACTGGATCAGTCAATTAATTTACTGATTTGATCAATCAACGGCTGCGATTCAAAACTCAATAAATAGGCTCCAGATGACCGTTACGATGCTACCATTTATCGTGTGCCTGACCACAGAGATTAAAAGTTCCACGTCACTGTTAATTATGTACATCCACATATTAACGTATGCCAAACACCAGCCAATAGGACTATAGGAGAAGTACCACTCCGTTTCTGTGCAGTTGTCTCAGTAACAATGGCTGCAATGGCTTCTACGTTCTTCTCGAGAACCACTCCAACTCTTCCGCGTAGAGCCATTACGAATTCAATCCCCAAATTTGCACTCTCAAAATCGCTTTCGAACTCTAAACGCCATAATTCAATTATAGTGTCTGCGGTTCGTGACGACGATAATTACAAATCCTTCAGTTTTGAGCTTACCGATTATGGCTCCGACAGTTTGAAGAAGCTTTTGGATTCATTCTTTGTTGTCTGTACCTCAGTCGCCTTGTCGGCTTGCTTATATGTGGCTGATGTTGATTCGGCCTCGGCCTTTGTAGTCACTACGCCGAGGAAATTGCAGACAGATGAGCTCGCCACAGTTCGTCTTTTTCAAGAGAACACGCCTTCAGTTGTCTACATCACTAATCTTGCTGCTAGGTGAAGAAATTTGAGTTATGATATTTTTTTTTTATTTCTTTTGATTGTTAGTGTGACTTTGGTTTGGTATATGTGCATTAGGCAGGACGCGTTCACATTGGATTTGTTGGAGGTGCCCCAAGGATCAGGATCAGGATTTATATGGGATGCGCAGGGCCACGTCGTCACGAATTATCACGTGATCCGGGGTGCATCTGATCTCAAGTAATTTTAATATTGTTTGATGTTTTCTTGTCAAATGCTACTTGTGGATGTATTCATTGAAACTTCTGCGTGATGTAATGGATTAACTATTTCCTTAGACGGTGCTAGTTGAGTTTTACATGGTCAAAATGGAATTTGAAGAACGTTTCATCATTTAGAGAGAATGCCTTTTTCATAGTTTTAAATATGATCTCACTGAATTTGCTAGATGTTATAAAATACTATGCAAGTCAAGAACGTTTCATCCAAGACTTTTGACATGCCTAGCTGTGTTGCATTGCAAACACCTTTGGTGCCTTACTATATAGTTGCCATGTAATGGCTTTGCAATTGGAGTCATTTTTATGCTAAACGCTTTGAATATCTTCATTAACAATATCTTTGGTTAAATGTATTAATCTTTAGAGATTTCTCTATTTATTATATTTTGAAATTAACTTTGTGCTGGCTATGTTTAGGGTTACTCTTGCAGACCAGAGCACTTATGATGCAAAAGTTGTTGGATTTGACCAAGATAAAGATGTTGCTGTTCTGCGAATTGATGCACCAAAAGACAAGTTGAGACCTATCCCAATTGGCATATCTGCAGATTTGCTTGTTGGTCAAAAAGTATTTGCTATCGGAAATCCAGTAAGTGAAAATAATCCTTTTTTATCGTTAAAATAAACTCCCCTTTTTGAAGACTTTTGCATCATAATTTCTCTGGTGCGTGTGCAGATACTATGTTTTGAATTTGGCCTTCTTATCAGATATGTGTTTGTCATGCATAGATGAGGAAAACCATTTAGACAGCGCTTAGTATGTGACGATGATATTGGCATTTCCTAGTGTCAAATTTGCTGATTCTTTCAATCTTTGTCGATGAACCCACGTTTCTAATGCCTCTACCCCCTCCTCCTTTTCTAACAGCTTCACCACCACAGCCACCTCTTCCAGCCTCTCCATTGATCCACTATCATCCCTACTCTTTCAGGCACCAATGCATTTACAGGCACCTTTCTCCGCCAATGCCCTTGACTGCTGAATGACACATCCACATGGAGACCAAACAGATAGACCAGTGATTGCTCAACTAGTTGCAATACAAATATTATTTTCTTAATCAAGAGAATTATCATATTTCATTTCCCATAGGAAGACGTATACATGAAACTTGGAAAACCATTCAAGAGATTCAAGAAACGAGTGACTTCTTTTGAAAAATACACATGCTTCTAATCGTGGAGGCTCATCATTTTGACTATAGCGAAAATATATTTAACAACTGAATAATCATTAAATGTGCATTGGAAATGCCAAATTTAGCTTAATAACTTATTTTCACATGCCTAATTTTAGGTTTAATTATTAAACTGTGGCTCAAATTCATGTTACAGCCTACGGGAATACTAGGCTGTTTTACGATTTTCTTGTACTACAATGTTGTTTCATCATAAAGTTATACCAAAACAGGTGACATATGCCTGATGGCATACCTTTCTCAAGTTTGTTCCATTCCCTGTCAAATATCTTCATGCAAGTCAACAACCCCCTTGGTTTGAACCCCCACTGATTTCCGCCCTCGTTATGTTATCCAGAAATAGTGTTTTTAGTTAAACAATTTTCATGAATAGGAAAATGGAAATTGGTGCCTTTTTAACGTATAGTGCGGATTTTTCCAGCTTAATATTCGGAATACATGAATTTCACTCTCATCGAATATGACATCATAAACCTTTGTTTGACAATTGACATGATCCTTATTTTTAAATGGATGTTTTTGCAGTTTGGCCTTGACCACACACTTACAACTGGTGTTATCAGGTATTCGTGCATTACATTTAACTGGATAAGTTGATACTATTTGAATCATTTCAGCTTTTCTGTATTCATGCTGCTGGAGATTATAAATTTTCTACGTGTGGAAGTTCATTAGTTTTGAAGAGGTAATGAAGAATAATACGACAATATCTAAAAAATTAGAATATCTTCGCCAGCTCTAGATTCCAACTACTAAGCCTTTTAAATTGAAAAAAGGTATCTTCTACAAACAAATTCAGACGAGAACCAGCCAACCCCTAAAGGAGAGAGCCTTCAACCTTAGTGTCATGGTTTATTATAAGTTCCATTTTTCTGTAGTGGACTGCGAAGGGAAATCAGTTCTGCAGCTACAGGACGTCCGATCCAGGATGTCATCCAAACCGATGCTGCAATTAATCCGGGCAATAGTGGAGGGCCACTTCTTGACAGTTCAGGAAACCTTATTGGGATAAATACAGCTATATACTCTCCTTCTGGTGCATCATCTGGTGTTGGATTTTCTATTCCTGTTGACACCGTAAGTAATTACTTAATATTCTGTCCTTGGGACTTCAGTAATGTTTGGTATAAAATCTATTAGCTGGCCGTTTTTCTAGCCTTTTCATCAGTGCTGTAATTACAAGAGTGGGATATACAGTTTTTCTAAATGAAGATAATTATTTTGATATATCTTTCATACCCCCAGGTAGGTGGCATTGTTGATCAGTTGGTGAGGTTTGGGAAAGTCACCAGACCAGTTTTGGGGATAAAGTTTGCACCGGATCAATCCGTGGAGCAACTCGGAGTTAGTGGCGTTCTTGTACTGGATGCTCCTCCAAATGGGCCAGCTGGCAAAGCAGTACGTTCATTGATATATTCTTTGTTTCCCTTGGTTTCATGTGATGTTATGGTGTGGAAGTTTCATTTCACTTTAGAAGGTTTGGAAGTTGTAAGTTTATGAGACAAAAACTGTTTAGTGCTGATACTTGTTGATGTAATCTTGGTCTTACAGGGTCTTCAATCTACTAAACGCGATGCCTATGGCAGACTTATTTTGGGCGATATAATCACATCTATCAATGGAAAGAAGGTCTCTAATGGCAGTGACCTGTACAGAATCCTGGACCAATGCAAAGTGGGTGATAAGGTAAGGCTAATTTCTTCGACTTCCTAACTGCGCTTTTCATTATCGAAGTCTAGCTGTGAACCTTATTATGGAAACGATAATTTTATTCTCTTCGAAGTCTAGCTGTGAACCTTATTGTTTGTGATTATCATCCTACAATAGCTTGCATATTTTTAGCTCTTCGAGTGACACGATTCAATCACCCACTTACAAAATCACGCCAAATCCCATTTCATGAAAAAGTAAAAACAAAAACAAACATTTCATTTACTTCTTGTGGATTGGGGATAACTTTTGTTTAATTTAAGTAAACATCTGGACCAGTTTATTTATTTTGGTTCAATTGACATGGAAAAAGATACATAACAGGCTCATCATTTTTTATTGTTGCGCAGATAACTGTGGAAGTACTACGAGGTGATCACCTAGAAAAAATCCCAGTACTCCTCGAACCAAAGCCCGATGAGTCATAGTGTGTCACTGATGTTGTAATTTTTACTATGAATTCGCAAGGAAGATGCCTTTCATAAGGTGTATTCTTTGCTTCTCAGTATTGAGAATTGTAAATAGTTCATGTAATGCGCTGTTGTATCGTAAAGCAATTGCCAGTGTGCAGTGTTCTGTAGAGCTACCTTATTTAGGGAATCCCGTCACCAGAGCATGCTCATCTAGTAAAGCTCACGTATTTGTAACCCGGCCTGGTCTAAAAGTTTATAGCATTAATCTTTTGACTTGTGTTTGCACATAAGTTGTTTGATCTTATATCATTCTTTTGATGTTCAATCCACACATTTCCGGTCATTCTTTTGCTGCTTGTTTCGGAACTTGTAGATTTCTCCTGTTTCTTTGTCGATAGAGTTCTAAACCTTGAAAGTCTTCAATTGGGGTTTGGTGGATGAGGCGAGACGCGTGCCAGATGAACACATTGAGGTCAATTAAACACTTGATAGCACGTGAAACGGACTGCCGTGACGGCCCCCAGGGGCAGCCTCCCCTGCTCACACGCTGGCAAGCATAAACGTAAGTAAACGCACACATCTATCTGGATAGGAAGCTTGCAACTTCATCAGCATTGATGGCACCGTTAGTACACTTTCTAATAATTTAGGTCATAAATCAGCTTGCCATTCTATATGAGTAGGGTAGTTCGCTAAGGTTTACCTTAATTCATGCTTGGATGATTAAGCTGCGTTTATTTTAGACCAAGATCACAATTCATATCGACTATAATTTTGATTTAGCGTGTGCATGGTACAATATGGATATGTTCGGCATAATTATACTGTATGCTTAGTTGTACCAAACACACGAAACAATCTCGACTTTCAATTATTGTCATCTATTAACACAAAAATTAGTTATAAATGTAAGAAATTTATAGATATAATTGAGCACAAGAGCAAGCATTATGTTTAACAGGAGCCCTTTGCAGAATGTTAGTAGAGCTTCCAATGCAGTATAGTGGCCACATCTTTTACCTAAAAAAAACCAAAAAAATTATAATAAATAAAACTGAGATGCAATTTTTTTTCATTAATTTTCAGAAAATACAATTTCTGAATTTATTACAGAGAAATTAAGGATGACACAATTGTTCTCTATTGCACTTATCGTTAACGTACATTTTTGTGACATCTAAAACTTGTCAGGGAACAGAGATTAATTTGTTCATACAGAGACTGGTCTAGAAAGACCAAATTCCAGGCTCCACAGTTCCAAACTTCCTTTCACAAAATCATAGTATCCACCCTTTAGTGCCAAAGTTTTCTTCACCAATCCTTCTCTAACAAATGGATAACTCAGCAGGTTCCCAAGTGATACATTCACTGCTTCCTGTTGCATTTTTACGTAATTAAAGCACGTTAAGCATAAATCCCATGTCGAATAAATATGAAAAACGAGCATACAAATCTTAATATCAAAGTAAAGTTTTTTACCTTCTCACACAGTCCACACTGATCAGCGAAAGGGGCATCCCCGAGCTCGGCTTTCACCTTGGCCTTTGCAGGTAAACAGATCTTCACCCAGTCTTCGATGAAGTCACTGAGAGCAAACATCATGTAAAACAACACAATTTTCAACGAGAAAAAGAAGTGAGAAATCCACTTTTCAATTTTGGAACTGGAATATGTAAAAAAGTAGTGGCTTACGTGGAGGTGGATCCATCATCAGGGAGAGACATGAGCCCCTTGATTCCTCCACAGGCACTGTGTCCAATGACTATGATTTCCTTAACCTGTGAAAGAACATTTTGAGAATCCCAGGTTTAGAATTTTTAAATAAACAAAAGTTATCCTAAGAATTATAAAAATTGAATTGAAATTTTGTATCAACCTTGAGGTGAAGAACAGCATACTCAATGGCAGATCCAACTCCAGAGTATTTAACCTGTTGCAACATTAAATAACATTCAAATCCCCTTTTTCTCTTCAAAAAATAAAAAATAAAATTAACAAACCTTATCATAGGCAGGGACCATGTTAGCAATGTTTCGGACCATGAATGCGTCTCCCGGGTGCAAATTCAGGACGTGTGATGGGCAGACGCGCGAATCGGAGCAGGCAAATACCATATACTTCCATGTTGAATCATTTCATCAATTATTTGAAGATAAATAGAAGGCAAAAAAGAAGTAGTTCTGAATCATAAATAATCAATAAACTACTGTACCGTTGGGCTCTGGCCTTTGGCAAGTTCACCATACAAGGCTGGATTTTTCCTGAATTATGCAAACAAGACAACGTCAGCATTCAAGCTATTTTCATCCTTCTTTCTTAAATATTTGTTCTTTTTTTCCTTGTCCAAAAAGAAGCAGACCAAAGCGAACATGGTCGGGTTACTTACATGCATTCAAAAACTCAATATTTATTGAAAATTAGTTTGATCTCCAAACACTTATTTTTGTAGTGGGGTTCATTTGATAAGACTTTTGAAAAGTCAAAAACTGTTATTGAGACTAAAAAGTTACTTTTGAACTTGTTTGGATAATTTTCTAAAAAAAAAAAAATTTGTCGCTTTAGCAGAAAAATGACTTAATTAACTTATTCAGGAAGCTCTTCTACAAAAAAATAGAAAGATGAGTCCTACCTAATGATTCCTTAATATACTTATTTTGGGTGGAGTAGCTTACTCATATTTCTCTCTTTTGAAGTGGACAAAGCCATTTTTCAGCTGCTCAACAGTGCTGGAAACGGTGGTTTTGTCAAGTGTTGCCAACTCTGCTTTAATTTGATCAATTTTTGCTGCAGCCACTGGTGCCAATTCTCCTTTCTCACTGCATCAAATGTTGCAATTTGATCATTTTCACTACTCCTTCCTTTTTTTTTTTTTGTGGAAAATTCAATGTAAGTAAAGAAAAATCCAACATGGCTTATGTGGGTTCCACTTTATCCAAACCTGAGAAGTTTTTGAAGTCCTGCAATGGCTTCCTCGTACTCTTTCCCCATATCTTCTCTCTGCAATTTCTCAATTTTAATACACATACACAAAAACAACATAGAAAATAAAAACATCCCAAGTCCAAAGTTGTAAAATTTTGAACACTACTAAAAATCAGACTTTTTAACTTTACACTATCAAGTCCTAATCTTAAATTCAAACACATTCATAATTAATGAATTGGGGGTGTAAATCACACATTTTATAAAACCACACTTTTTCAATCAGACATTCCATCGATATTTATCAAAATTTACTAAAAAATTGATTTTTATGTGAACCAAAGTACCAAAATGGGGTGGATGATAGGAGCAGGAGCAGCAAAAACAGGCTTGTTTTGAATGAGGCTCGGTGGAGAATTAGACGACGCTTGACAAACTACGAAGGGGCGTCTCTTGAGGGATGAAGAAGATTGCGCGGTGGGAACGAGAGAAGTAAGAGCGCACCCGTTTACGGTCGACATTGTGCACGGCAGCATACAATTTGCTGCCTTTATAACTCAACCACTTCACCTCCACCCCACCCCCAACCACACCCACATCCCCCAAGTTATAGGCTCCATCGGATAATGAAAGTGAAAGTTGATCAAATAATAGCTTCTAATGTTGCAGATCAGATTTGGACGCTGGAGATTTGATGGAGTTTTACAGTCATGTTATAGCCCTTTGCATGAACTGTGTGACATGCATGCAATGGCCATTCGCCACGAATTTTTCACGGATATCATTTGTTTATTTTTTAAATACATTATAGGATTTCGAATCAATTCTTGAGTGCAAGTTGGTTCCAACCTTTAAAATGAATCATTAAACCAATCTTGAGATGGTGGCTCGTTCTTGAAATTCTTGTGTTCATTTTTTTGAGTCTTAATCGGATCGAATTGTTCGTTAGAGCTTTTCAGGCTTTAATACCGTGTTAAGATTTGAGGTTNAAAATTGTCATGTATGGGCATGGGTGGATGGAGAGGGGGCTGCCCAGAAGCAAATTGAATTTATTACGGGTGAATAAAGCTCAAATAATTCTCGAGCATGTTTGGTATGGATTTTTTAAAATTAATTTTCAATCACATTCTACGAATAAAATAATTTTGCACGTGAGTCCATAATTTATTTTTACTTTTTGACGACAAATTCTCAGAAAAAAAAAAACCATTTTTCCAAAATAATTTTCTACAGAATTTACATCAAAGAGGCCCTAAACACGTATATATGCTATATTATAAGGTAATACAAGGAAAAAAAAGGAAAATATTAAATATCAAATCCTAAGCACGCACCATACTTTCTTTGTGATGTTGAAACAATTAATTATCGTGCAAAAAGTTGTGGATATAAATTGAATGAAATATATGCGACGGGTGAAGGATTATACAAGATAAGGTCCTATCTCCAAAACATGGTTCTAGTTGTAGAGCCTGTCTTTACTTTATCTGCTTCCCTGCTTTTGAATTTTTTTTTTTTTTGCCAATGAATAAGGATAACAATAATTTACTCTACTATTTTATTTTATTTTTTCTTAAATCTACCCTACAATAGATATATTTATTTCTTCTCGATGTGTCGAGGAATAGAATACAAACTTCGGACAAACTCTATCTATTTGCATTAGTTCAAGGAGCTGTCCAGTAATTAAAAAAGAACAGAACAACACAACGAAGATGATGAAATAAAGAAGAATAAATGGGAGGCGTCGGCAGAAGAACTGACGAACTACTTGTCTTCAACGGTTGAAAATTTCATTTTCTTCTTTAATGTTGTTGAGTACAGTACAATATAATTCACTTTGCACAACAAGCCGTGCAAAGAGCGATAGTTAGGTCAAGTAAAATACGAATAACTGCTAAGCCTTAATTCCTTTTTCGATGCTCAAGATCGGGAGTTTTACCTTTCATTGATGATGATGGAGACTACATGAATGGTCGTAACTTCAAACTCCATTGACGCGGTCCCATAAATTATATGGCACAATCTATATGTATTTGAATTCAATGGAAAATGTTCAATTTCCCAGATTGAGTTACACTTAATTGATGGACATTATATATGTGTGTGTGTGTGTTACCTCGGGCATAAGCAATGTTAGCATGTCAACATTGTTTTGCCATCTTTAGGACGTATATGATTTTAGTGAACACGTATATGCCCACATAACCTACACTTGAAAGAATTTTACTAGAAAAAAACAAGTAGAATGTTGTCATTTTATTACCATATATCATTTCTTGGAAGTTAATATGTTCCTTGCCTTAGAAAATATAATGACCAACCACGATGAGCGGTTCACGCGAGGTTTTAGTCGTTCGACTAATGCTCACCAGCTCGACTCTTTTGTGGGGCATGCCTACCTTAGAAAAAATTTAGAAATTCAACATGGCTATAACTTAACACCCCTAAGTAAAGTTCATTTAGCCCTTGTTTGGTATCGATTCTTTAAAATTAACTTTTTTCTCAAATTTATTTTGAACCATACATTCTTCAAATAAAATAAATTTGTTCATGGACCCATAACTTTTTTTACTTTTTAACTACTCATTCTCAAAAAATAACATTTCATAAAATCGGTTCCAAAAAAATCTATACAAACATGTTCTTAGTATATGCATACCTTACAAATTTGACATTCCATAGTGGAGTGGTGCACCTACAAATTTCTAGTAATCATGAGTTTGGTGGAGAGACAATGTCCTACAATCTTTTCTAACTTAGACGTCAAGGTAGAATTCATGTTACAGTCCAATCTTGAGCAAAATATATACTACAATTTTTAGCCCTTGTTTGGTTGAACAAAAATATTAGATTAAAATTTAAGTCAAAGTTAATAATTAATTTCAATCACATGTTATAGTACATACAACTTTTCAACCACATATTTCATCAATTTTTATCAAAAGTCCGATTTTATCTAAACCAGACGGGGGCTTAATCTTATTCCAGACTTCTATTATTTTAATTATCTCCAAATAAGTCATTAATCTATTGAATTTCCATCTAAATTTTTCTCTCGACGAAAATCTATCTAACTTATCATAACTGAATTAATCACCTCTAGTTTTGCCCACGAAATAGTTAATAAACTAAAATATGCCAGAAGAGTCCTATAACTCTAAAACTCGTTTTAATACGCAAAGAGTGCTACCACGAGAATATGGCCCACTCACTCCTGGGCTGACCAAGCCCAATAAGTACTGCGGCTTTGCGATAGATGAACTGGGCTTTCTGACCCATTAACTGAGGAAGGTAAACCTTTTCCAGAAATTAAGTCCTCATTTTCATTTTCATTTTCATTCTTCTACTCATTTTCAAAAGTGAATTGTTTCAAAAATCATTGAACTTATACTATGATCACGGACTGCTCACCAAACTTCATTTTGCTTCATAGTACTCACTCAACTTTGTCATTTACCTCTCCATCTACCACTGTCAAAAAATTCGTTTGTTGGACACTGACGTGACAGACGGAATTCCTAGGTGGCGTCTGACAGCTTTAAAAAATTACAAATCAGCAAAAACATTGTTTCATCACTCATCCAACTTACTTCAGGTCACAGTTTAATCATCGAACTTCAAAATACTTCCCAATGATTACTCATCTTTGAGATATTGCACTCCATCCATTATCCATCATATTTTGTTCACTTCGTTGCTAATGTTCACATAGAAAATACACATAATAAGTTACAAATGTTAGAAAAATCACAACTCAATAAAACTATCAATTTACTAAAATCACCATGTGTGAAACATGACTTCCACGGCCTCATAAACTTTTTTTAAAATCCAATAAAGCGTCCTTAATTATTCTTTAGAAATATCACTTTTATAATTCGAATGTTTATTATGTGAAAATAAGTTTCAATCTAAAGCTGAAAATTGGAAACTTAACTTGATTTGTGAAAAATTTTGTCTATATTTCACCGATTTTACTTCTAATTATATTCAATTGATCATATGGTGATTTCCATGTGTTGATTGTTTGGTTGAGTTATAATTTTTTTGATGATTTTAATTACCTGTGAAATTTTCGAACAATAAATTAGCAACGAAATGAATAAAATATGATGAATAATAGATGTAGTGCAATTCTTAAAGATGAGTGATCATTGAGAAGCATTTTGAAGTTCGATAAGTAAACTGTGACATAGTGTAAGTTGGATGAGTGATGAAACAATGATTTTGCTGATTTGTAATTTTTTAACGGTCGTCGATGTCATCTAGGAATTCCGTCCGTCACGTCAGCGTCCAACAAACGGATTTTTTGACAGTGGTGGATGGAGATGTAAATGGCAATGTTGAGTGAATACTGTGAAGCAGAATGAAATTCGGTGAGCAATCTGTGACGATGGTATAAGTTCAGTGATTTTTGAAACAATTCACTCAATTTTCAACCATACATTTTTCAATAAAATAATATTTTTCATTACATCAATAATTTTTTCTTCCTTTTCAACCACATATTCACCATCACATCACAAAACAATGTATTCACTCCTAAAAAATATACATCAAACACGTCTTAAATAGGCATTATGATTTTAGGATAATTGTTAATTATCCATCCTGTCACTATAGAAAGAAGAATTCACATTACGATCTTCCAATTTTACCTAAAGGGAATGTCCAATCCCAATCTCCTAGAACAGTGAAGATTCAATAGAGTCCAGTCCACATTTTTACGGACACGAGTACTTTCCCTAGCTCGCTTCTTCCAAACTAGAAGAGCTCTAGTGATGGCAATTTTCCCCTCGATGCCCTGCCCTGAATGGGACAAAAAAATCCGCCCCGAACGGGTTGGGGGGAGGGCGTGGCCGGGTTTGCTGCNAGTTGGCCGGGCGGGGGCGGAGATGCCCAGCCCCGAATCCTCCGTCCCGTGAAGAATTAAAAAAAATTTGTTTTGAATATTATTTGTTTTGGACATTTTTTATTTCAAGTGTTTGCGTTGGATATTGATGTTGTTAGTTTTAACATTATTTGTTTTGAATTTTAAAATTTTGAATTTTTATTTTAACTGAGAATAAAAATAATTAAAAAGGGGGCAGGAAACCACCCGTTGCCATCTCTAAATAAGAGCTCCAAAAAAAAGAAAAAACTCGACACCTCAAGGTAGTACGTATCCTAGACCTAGTTTGGATTCTTTGGGCTCGAAAGACTAGAGCACACCGAATTGAACGTGACGAAAGAATTCAAAATATTGCCACGGTCGAATTAAACTGTTTCTTTATCACCAAACCCTAACTCTAAATTCGCCTACCCATTTTAAGGACAAAAATGTATTTTTGAATAGTAATTTTTTTAAAGAATGTTTGGTTAAAAAGTAAGAAAAAATTTCAATTTAATTTTATTATAAAATATGCGATTAAAAATGAGTTCTCTAGCTCGTACAAGGGATATCGATACCAAATTTTTCATTCGATTATTAAATTTCATAAGGCGTACTGCACCATGCTACAAACACATGCATTAACATCCGAAATTAATATCAAGTAGAGTATCTTTAAACACTCGTGCACTCCTACCAATTGCATTTACAGTACAACACCGACCATTTCAAGAAACTGCAATTTACTATCTTTGCACATGTTCTTGGTTGATAAATTATTTAAATTATCAACAATTTGTAGGTAAAATATCGACAACCATGGAAAAAGATGGAAAAACTTTAAATTAATAAACAAAGATTTCGATAGTGTACCACCCTTTGAACTGAAGGTATAACCATTCGGGTTCTACATCGGTGCAAAGCTCCTGCCTAAACCGTTGACATTAGCGAAAAACCCTACGAGGTCTCTTCTGTACGGTAAATACGATTTCTTCTTATTCTCCTCTTTGATCGCTCTATTCCTTATGTAGTGCGCTTCGTGAGCTGATGATGATCCCGGCGCGCCACCGTATAGGACTCTGCCTTTTGCTTTTGATTTTTTCGAAGTCTCAATCTTCCCCGGTTTCTCTTCCCCCCGGTGTTTTGGTGTCAAAAAGACAAAAGAGTCCTTGCCATCGCTATTGCTTCGTCGCATCAAATCGCGAAGCTTCCACCTCTTCGAGCCAGATCCGGTGGACTTGCTTTTCTGACACCGGATCGGCGATGGTTCCGTCACATTTGGCCTCCACACGCAGTACGTTCCCGGTGGGACGCTCTCCAATTCATCAGCTTCCGATGAAGACGACGATGGACTCTCACGCTCCTTCTCACCGCGATCTTCGATAAATAATTTATTCAACGGAATTTTAATACTCTCCACCTGATCAGACGATTCCGATCGCTTTTTATCGTTATTCGCCAAAAGATCGCGATTAAATATAGGGAAAATTGGCTTGATTTTGCTGTTTCCGGTTAAAACTTCATGATTTTCGCTTACCAAAGAAAACTCAAAATCCTCATCGTCATCATCTTTATCGTCTTCATTTGAGTTCTCCTTGGATACTTTTAATGCAATTTCTGCTAATCCATCAGCTGAATAGCAATTGAAGCTAGGGCAGATGCCAATATCCTCCTGGTCCTGGCCACCACTCATTTTCTTCGTCTCAATCTGTCACTTCTATGTGCCTATATATGTGTGTGTATAGAGAGAGAGAGAGAGATGAAAATGGGGACAAAGGCCGGGGTTTATATACGAGGGTTTGTGGAGGGAAGGAGGAAATGTATCGATGGCGAATTTGACGGTGTTAGTTGGAGGAGCTATACTTAGTTCATACGGCTCACGCGGTCACTTCACACGTGGGCTTCCAGAAGTAAATGTGAGGGCACGCGTCACTTCACACGTGGGCTTAATTACTTGATTTTAGCTCTTATAATTCATTAAAAAAAAATTGATATATATATCATTAAATTGCATTATGAATTGTGCCAGTACAGCTGACCATCTGGAAGGCTATAATGAAAGCCGCCATTTTAGATGGTTGGAGGAGAAAAAAAACAGGGCCATCTGGGAATCTACACATGATGTACAAAGGCCTCATCTAAAGCTAAAATTTAATTCACTTGTAGAGAAGGTATGCCAAATCAATTTAAAATCCTGATTTATTGCATAAAATTTTAGACTCCACAATTTTTTATATATTGTCACATTAGTGAACGCAACAAAGTCAAAAAGTTGTACTGCCCAACTCCTTCTAAATTAGGTAGGGATCGCATAAGAATTTTTCCTCTTGTATAGTCATTAATGGACTTTAATTGTACACTGATTAGCGTGGACCCCACTGATCAGTGTACAGTCCATTAATGACTGTACAAGGGGAAAAATTCTTATTCGATCCCTACCTAATTTATAAGGTACAACTTTTTGACTTTGTTGCTGTGGGGGCACACACTAATCAGTCAGGGCTGTAAAATTTACAGTCCATTAAGGACTGTACATGCAGCATCTTTCATCTAATAATTAAGTAACAAGATCGATCCAGTGAAAAATAATATAATTAATTTTTACCACACATTTCATTGAACCTAAAACTTTATAACCATATATTTCATCTATTTTTATCAAAATCTCTTAAAATGTTGATACATAATTACAATTGTTTGACTGATTCCCACTCAATTTTGACTTCGATTGGAAGGAAGAAAAGAAAAGCTAGGACCACTTTTGCATGAACTGATGGACTTCTTCTTATGACGGTTGTTAGTGTTGAAACTATTTGTGTAAACATATTGATTAATTATTTCTCTGATGTTTTATAATACAATTTTTATAACAGGTTTCCGGGCACATCCAATGTATATGCAATGACAAAAAAATAAAAACATAAAATTAGCACTAGAATTGATTTGGATTTTGATAAAATAATTGACATCTACGATGTCTAATAGGTTAAACTGAACAAAACAATCGGAGATTTTATCATATATATACTTCTCTTATAGTATTTTGATTATATTTAATTCAAATGTACACTAGTGGGAAGATGTAATGGCAAAATCAAAGAGTTGGCGTGGAAGGAATAAGAAGTTTAAGTTTCTTTTTCTGTCAATTTTTTATGCATTAGGAGGAGGGTCAAATACAGAGAATATTAAAGAATGGAATTTTAAAGGGAGAAAATGTCTCGAGTCAACATAATTCACAATAAATCACTTTTTTTTGTAATTTAGGGCTTGTTTGGTAGTGCTTTTATGTGCTTATAAGATACCGTCCCAACAAAAGAAAACAAACAACCTAGTCCCAACACATCATCCATGGAGATGCTACTTCCTGAGGATACATATAACAAAATACTATATGTTGAAGCAATTGGTCAAAGAAAATTGAAGTTAAAATCTTACACATGTACTTTATACAGCAAATCCACATTAGGACTCTGAATTGGCTTGAACTTTGCTATATGAACTTTACTATTTATGTAGCAAAGACTCTCGGTCTGTCAATTTATCCTGTACTAGAGCTAATTTTTCCTTGTTTCCAATGAGCAACACGCCCGAAATTTCTGTTTCTGAGCCTTCCAACCGTAGTCTTTGAATAATGTCGTGGATCATAGGTCAAAACTGAATTTGGAAAATCCTGTACGAAAGATATGGTAATAAAGAGGAAACCACGACGAGGAGTGTAACCAGCAAGTAAAAAGGACTCAGGGCGCAAGCTTCCACAAGAACTTGGTATGCTGTTGTAGAAATTATAGGAGACACAGCGCCGTACACCACTAGAAATGCGTACCAGAAAGCAATGCTTCCCCAGATGAAGAAGTGCTGGATCCAAGTGAAGTAGTTAATAGATATCGCCATTTGACAGTTTACTGTCCACACGACACAAGTATACATCATGACCCCGAGCACTTCATAATCGACGACATGACCATCTCTCCGGAAGGCCTGATTCACAACAGCATTTGTTGTAAAGAAAAAGATGATCACGGAACTAATAACACCGTTCAACATCCAGCCAAGAATGCGCGGCCAACTGAAGAGAATGTTCTGCACTCCCTCATTATATAACACGGGATACTGTGGATCAAATGCAAATGTATATCCCTCTTAACGTCATAATACACACAGAGGTGAAATGATTCCGAAAAGAAAAATTAGTGAAAATGAAAAAATTTCTACACGGTTGAGATTATATCGAAGTTCTATTGAAGTTGTAATGTATGGTTTTACCTTAAGACAGAGTTGTGCAGATACGTCCTGATCAAAAACACCAAGAGCAATAGCGGGAAGTGAAGTGAAGAGCACGTTGTAGAATGACATGTACCAATCATTATAAGCAGGTTGGCCAGAGAATGAAGCACGAGCCTCAAACCAATATAAAGTGAACCCAAATGCAATGTTCTTGTAAAAAAAGTAGCATATCTGCACCAGTTCCATAAGAAAGATGTAAAAATGGGCAATCGTCAACAATAACAATTTTCAACTCTTATTTTTGATATTGTTTAGACTCATTGTATCAGTGACTCAAAAAATCACATCTATAAAGTTAACGTTAAATACCCTGCTTCCACTGAAGAAAGTAGGAAAATAAAGTATGAGTATTATATGGATATAGCAAGCTAAAATCTGAAAAACTGAATTTTGTTTGTCAAGATAAAGAAATTTGATAATTTTATTCTAATTCTTATGAGATAGAAGAAAAATGGAATTAAAATTTTTACCGTCATAGAAATTCGTCTGTAACACCAATGGCCATGGACCAACAAGAGACGCTCAAGAAACCGGAACCGAGATATGGAGAAATCACTTGACATCACAGCCTGAATAAAATGTCAATATGACATCGCCCAAAATTTTCAAAATAAGCATCCAGGCTATGAAAAAGAACATTTCACAAACTAACAATTAAAAAGTCTCATAGCAGGATTGGGTTTTTGACTAGATATGCGAGGAAAATAAGAAACATGAGAGTTATCTCTAGCCTAGACCTGATACAAGCACGTAGAAATGTATACATGACATACTATACCATGGTATAGAGAATTTAATAAAACTTCAATAAAATCTATAAGTATATTAAGCTTCAAATAATTTAAAATCCCTCAGTCTATTTCAAATCAATAGATATTATACAATTTAAATGTCAAACATCACATAAATGTCAAAGCCACCTGCATATGCTGATATACAAAGAAATAACGTCAGCAGGGAAGGATTTTGGAATGGCCGAATTGGATACTTATATTTATGTTTTAACCTTCAAGAAGCCTGAAAGGAAAATATTAATATAATGGAAGCAGAAGTGGAGATGACCTGCATGCCTTCGACACCACTGATGCCAACTCCAATATCAGCCTCTTGAAGCATGCCTACATCATTAGCCCCATCACCAATTGCTAGTGTTGTCTTGCCCGTACCCTTTTTTACCAATCTAGTAACCTGAACATCTTCAACAGCACTATCAGATTATATAGATGTTGGACAAGTTTAGAGCAAAGAAATTTCTGGAAATATAGAAATGGGCATTATGTTAGCACATACAAGAGCTTTCTGTTTAGGTGTGGAGCGACAGCATATAACAGATGAACAATTTATCGCAAGACCCAAAAATGAATCCTTCAAATTCTTGTTGAAAGCAAACGATAATGACTTGCCATCAATTATCAAACCAAAGGAAGTAGAACTTCCTCTAGATAAACAGAGCTGTGAATTTCCTTCTATTATTTGCTTTGATATGCTTGCACTCGAAGCCTGAGATAGTTGACCCATCAAAGATCTAATATAATATTAAAATCATGAAACAAGAATTTTGGAATCCAGTACCTTTGCAATAGCCTCCTTGTCTCCTTGTTTTTCTAGGTCATTTATTTCTGGAGAGTCTAAGGTAACCACAATTTGCTTCATGTCGTCTCTAAGTAAGCTACAAGCATACCTACATGATACATTGTACTACAGATCGCATAATGAACTGTCCCCAATGCAGCAATTAGAGGAGGAGGAGGAGGAGAAAATGCAACCATAATGAAGCATGTCACCCTTACCCAATATTTATTGCTGTCTCCATCTTGTCACCAGTTACGACCCAAATCTTAATTCCAGCATTTGCAAGCTTGTCAATGCATTCAGGAACCTTCACACCAGAGACGAGATTAGATCAAGAGTCATTAGCAATGAACACACATAAATTGAAATTTACAAAACGTAGAATGGAAACAACAAAAAAAATCAATAGAAGAAATAGTAAATGATTAAGCAAGGTATCAAGTTTTATATTGACCCCTTTCTGTAGTTTGTCTTCAACTGCCGTAGCACCTAGTAGAATTAAGTTCCTTTCAATCTTATCAGCAACCGCATCAACCATTGCATCTCGATCCGCATTTAGAGAAGTCTGGGCCTTCAGAAACTCCTCCTCCCATGACCTAAATTCTTCTTCATTGAGCTCACGATAAGAAATAACTAAAGTTCGTAAACCTGCTTCAGCATATTGTTTAATATGATCCCTTGTTGTAGCTTCAAAATCTCGTCCATTTCTTGAGAGCCGTTCAAACATCACACTGGATGGTATAGAGGACACACAACCAAAGAAACAGGAAAAGGAAAGATTTATACCATGTTTGCACAGTAAACAAGCCAAGGGTACTGTGCTTAGGGGGAAACCTGTCTGCACCCTTGCATAGGAGCAGCAACTGGTTTTCTGCATTCTTTACCATTACAGACATTCTTTTCCGAGCACTGCTGAACTCTAAGACATAAAGAAGCTTATATGATCTGGAAAAATGTCATATCATGATATCAAAGACGAATACAAATAATTGATACTTTATTTTTTACTCTTTGAGATCAGTTAGTAGAATGGAGAACACAATAATAGATTCCACTCGGAAGCAAATCGGAGACTCCCCAGGAACTAAATTTTAAATAGGAGTATGGTTCGTATTCTTTAGCGCAAGGCCACTGACAATCGATGCCGGCCAGAAGGCGGCGCACGAGTGGGCTTAGGACGGAACCCAATAGGATATAGGCCTCCCCTTCCAAAGACTATTGGTGCCTCTTGAGGCCCAAACTCAATTTCCAAACTTCTACTATATAAACCACACCAAAATTTCCTAACTTTCCTATGTGGGATAAGTGTGTAGCAATTTTCAATAAATCAAATTCTTCACTAGTTTATAGTTTTAAGTGGGTTACTTTGACATCAAATATATATTCAATTCTAAATGGTTTCTGATAAATAAATATATCACATTAATCATCTCGCGGAGTAGAATGTGAATATGTTTGGTCCCGTTAAAATGGAAGTACAGGTCCCACTAAAACTGGAGCTCAAAGTTTACCCAATTCACTAATTAACAAACCATTTCCAACAAGATTCGGATATATTTATTCAAGTTGGTGTTGCATATGATGTTAGAAGAATCTTGTTCTCCTTTAATTTAGATAGCTGTATCTTTTTTTATTAGTGTAGTCAAAAGCACATTATTTTGATCATTAGCTTTCTTCTCCCAACAGTTGGTTTACCCCAAAGTCTAACAAATAAGACCACATGTTCCAAAACATTTAGAATGGCCCTCTACATTGGTGTTACGTGAAACATCAGTTGACTGTGGGATGCAGTGACTTAAACGGTGTGTCCCATAATGGTCGAGTACGAATTATTTGAGTGGCTCGTCTATCGCATGATTTAGGCTCAAGAATTCTAAATCTATTAATAGGGCGTGTTCGGTAGAAATTAAAATTGAAAAACTAGTCGTTATTATTGATTTTTATTAGACGAGTGGGACCAATAACGGCTATATTTTCAATTTTAATCGGATTTTAATCTTTATCAAATGAGTACATAGTATCTTCGCACTCTAGTTCTAACATCATAATAACAGAATTACTGAAAGAAAATGAACATAAAATATTTCAAAAGGATTGCACCTGTCAATCTTTCTTCCACTCTGATGATCAAATTCATGCAAAGAGATGTCAGTTTGGGTTCTTTTAACGAACTCAAAGCCAAGTTCCTTTGCAGCTATGACGAAGGAAGCTTCATCTGGTGATTCAGCTTCATAGGAAATTTCACCAGATTCTTGATTGGCATCCGGAATGGCTGTATGGCAGAGTGCTAACGCTCTAAAGAACTTCTGTATCACATTAGCATGAGGTTCATTAACCCAATGACCATTCATAATGCGTTCATCTTTGAAGTTGAAACCTCTGATTGATTTTCCCAAGTCCGTGTGGCCATCACTAGATTCTTGTACATTAGAGGAAGAGTTTCCAGAGTCAGGTACTGCCTTCCCTTTTCTCTTTGCTAGTGCCCTCTCTACTTCTGTCATGCCACGACCATAAGCTATGCCGGCTATCGTACATTTAACAAACTCCATGGAATTGCATGTCAGAGTCCCCGTTTTATCGGAAAGGATTGTATGAACTTGACCAAGTTCCTCATTCAAATTGGAAGTCCTTGCACGTGCTGGCTTATCTGTATCCTCATAATACATATCCTGGTCTTGATTAATAAAAATACTCTGTAAAACCTTTACAATTTCAATAGATACATACAGTGATATTGGAATCAAATATCCATACAACATAAGCCCAGTCAAGAAATGAAAAAATGCAGCCAGTGATTCTCTTTTCCGGTCATAAAACACAGTCGTTTTGTCTGGTCGAAGATACCACCTCTTTAACCTTCCATCATCAATATCATTCTTAGTTTGAATTCATAAAAAGAAAGATCCTAAAAAAGAGATCAAAATTAACGTGATAAAAAGGATGTATATTATTTTATCCATTTTTCTCTCGAGCTTACTCCTCTTGGAAGGAGGATCTGTAGCATTCTGCATACCTTTTGTGTCATGACCAGTAAAAACAACCACACCACAGACATAATCAACATTCCTCAGTTTAGAATCTCTCAGAAGGATTTGTTGCACTGACAGAGGATGCTGCTGACCATCATGGATCAGAGTTCCAACGAATGCATACAAATCTTCATTTGGGTCCTCACATTTGACAACTGCCTTAAATTGCTGAAAAGAATCATCAGCATGCAGAGAAGCTGTAACCTCTAAAGCATGCTTCACCTTCAGATTAGTCTCTCCATCTAGATTCGTAGTTTCAACATAACAAATCCCATCCCCATAGCTTGATGAAAGAAGCAGTAGATCAGCAGGAAAATATTCATTCTTATATACCTTCACAAGATCCCCAACTTGTAATTTTTTCCATCTGGTTTCTTGAAAATTATGATCCCCATCATAAACTTCGACCTTCCTATTATTGGCCTCAATATCCTGAAAAGAATTCAATTACTCAAGATACGTAAAGAAATTTAAAGCTACGTTTTATATTAAAAGAACAAACAAAATAAAAAAATATACTCTAACAAACAACAGCACACATAAAGGAAGGTTATGGTGCTGAGCTTTAAAGAACAGAACTCAACAAAGTTGATAGGCTGCTAAAGTCTGTGCTAATCAATAAGTTTACAGAAAAAAGGACGTGAACTATTTTTACTTTCATTAACATTGTCTTTGTGCTAGGCACTAAAGAAGTAAATATGTGGACCAAGTACAGATGGCCAAAAAAAAGTCTCAAGCTTGAAGTGGTTTTTATCAGTCTTTCTATTTCGTGTATAAAGAAATAAAGAAGCAAAAATAGAACTTTTATTAGATAGTTCGTATTTCACCAAAACCACAAGTTTCTTTGATTCTTTTACCTATTACAAGTTCATCTTATTTGGAGTGTTATATATTCTCGACAACCATGGCTGACAGAAAATAAAGCAAAAACACAATAAAATGGTAAAAGGGATTGAAAGGTGAAAAAAAAAAGTGCGTAACCTCAACATGCTAAGGAGAAGGAGAAGAAGAAGAAGACGAAGAAGAAGTTGATTGTGACCACAGCCACTGGTGATAAATGGTTAGTTGGGAAACCTAATTCCTACCTTTCTTCATTGAACAGGCCATGCTCTCGCAAAATTACATGTAGTTTAAAAATTTAGCACTATCAACCGAAGTATACACACAAATAGTACTGAAGGGTAAAGCACACGAAAAGGCAGAAACCGAAAGCAACATGTAGGTAGAGAACCTCCGAAAAGTAATAAAAATTAAAACCTGCTTCCTGCGCCTCCAGTCTTCGATTGCTTCCTTGGCCATTGTCGCTCCAATCACCACAAGCAAAGGCGCGAGAATACTAGTAGCTGTGTAGGGAGCCAGGGGACTAAAAGAAACACAAGCTACAAGAAGAAAATATAGATTTGCCACCCTTCTAAACTGCTCAAACAATGACTTGGGAATAAAATTAAACGCATTGTACTTGGTTGTAGAAACATAATTGCTCCTATACCTAAGTTGAAGCTGCTCTGGATTATCGAGTTCATTACAATATACAATCCTCGAAAAACTCTTCTGCCCAATTTGGTTGTGTTCATCATTAAATGGCGATCGAAAACATGAAAACGAATAAAGTCTGCTAAAACGTATCCGTCTACTACTTCGACCAGGCATTGTGTTGGACCGTATCAACACACGTGTCGTCAAAAGTCGAAAGAAATTAATGGAGTAATACTAAGTATTAGTGGGTGTTTGGCACCCATTCTTTCGAAGAATGAGTTTTTGAATAGTGATTGATGTAAAGAATGTGTGATTAAAAAGTAAGAAGAATTTTTGGGTTTATGTGTAATATTATTTTATTTGGAGAATGTGTGGTTA